AGACTTGTGAGCAAAAATTCTGCTTTGTGGGCTACCGGCATTAAAGTTGTGAGCGAGCGATTTGGCGCCTGCATACATTCGTTTGCTCTGGAGCCCTCCTTTCTGAGCCGAGACAAAAATGTGCGAGCCGGAGGCTAAAAAACTGTGAGCTAGTTCACACGAACTCAGTCTAGGGGGAACACTGGCAAGAGTCGGACTGAACCACCACAAATAACTCTCCCAAGTGGTTGAAGAATGTTTCGTATATCACAATTACAATAATATTTTCTGGACACAAGAAGCTCCCCAGTTGCTTTTCCTCTTCAGGAAAACTTCCAGGCAGCAGCAGAAGTGAGGATTTAAAAAAGAAAAGAAAAGCGGAAGCGTTGAGCGGCTGCCGTTCCTTTAAAAAAGAGGACTTAAAAAAGAGGATTTTAAAAAGAAAAGAGGATTTTAAAAAGAAAAGAGGGTTTTAAAAAGAAAAGAAAAGCGGAAGCGTTGAGCGGCTGCCGTCCTTGCCGAAAGGCGTGCCGGGGCGCCCGAGGGAGTGTTCCGCAAGGACTTTGAGCCCCGGGAGCTTCGGCTTCTGCCGTCTCTTGCTGCAACTGGCGGGGGAGCCCTGCGAGAAGACCTGCCGCAGGAGTTTCTTCGGCCTTGGAAGAGGTAAACCGGGGTGGGGGGTGGGGGCTGGGAGCTCCCCTCCTCCCCCTCCTTTTGGCGGGAAGGGGAGAGGGGCGTTTTTTTTTAGAAGAGAGGCGGGCTGCGGCGTCTGCTGTCGAGGTGCCCCCCCCCCCAATTCTACCGGCCCTTTAAGGGGGTGAGAGAAGAGCCGACGGCAGGGAAACGGCTGAGGGGTTTCGCCTGCAGAGGTTTGGGGGCGGCTGCTGAGGGGCGTGAGGCTGGTCCCGGCTCTCCGTAGATGTTAAAAGGGGCAAGAAGGGCGGCGAGGGCGTGGCGTCCTTCCGTCCGAGCGACCTAGAGCCCGTCCCCAAAACCAGAGAGGTGGTCGAGGGTGGCGGGCGGGCGCTGGGTGTGGAGGGAGAAGGGGCCGCGTCACAACAGTGTTTGTGCTCTGCGCTGACAAGGGAGTGTGGGCACGACAGACGGGTGTGGGTGAGGCCAGCACTCCCCTGCCCTCTCCCTCTCCCAGTGTGTTGACTTTAACAGGAGTGAGACTGTGTGCAAGGCTGCAGGGCTAGGCGAGCGCAGAGGCCAACCTCCCGGCGGGGCCTGGAGACACGCTCTGGGCGTCCTCTCCCCCGAGGCGGGCGGTGTGTGTGTGTGTGTGTGGGGGGGGTCTCCTCGTCCCTGCCCC